CACAGAATTTCATTATGAAGACACAAAAATATTTGTATTATGTAGTTCAACAAGGGTTAAAAATAGATCTCCACACTCTCTCCCTGTAAATACAAAACTCACAACTGAAGGTTTGTGTTATCAATATTAGTGGAATGGGAATGAGAGTATTACAGTCATACAGCTCAGTAATACAAGCAAACTGGTGCCATTAAAACAAGTCATATTAACACTGGTGAATACCTTCAAAGCTAAAATAAAGGTCTTCTGAATAATTTTCCTCTGAACAAACTCAAGCAGACAAGCAGCTCACCATAAGTGTCCAATGTGATTCTGTGACTGGGAAAGAAAAAATAAGCACATGTCATCTTCAGATACATCAACAGCATATTAGTGACAAGCAGTTGAGGTGGTGGAATTACTTTTCTCCATGGTACTGTAGGGGTGGATATTTGAGATTGTATGAATACTGGTATCTGCATTTTAAAAACAATGCTGAAACCCACAGAGGATCTAAATAAATCAGATTCCCAAAAACTGAGACCTAGAGAAAGCAGAAAACAGAAGCCAATAAACTCTGAATGCTTAATTAATTAAAAACAAATGAGATAAAGACTTGAAGACAGTGCAAATATTCTGTCAGAAGAAAAAGAAGATAAATACTTAAAGGTTTCCTTACTTTACCCAGGGAAAACATATGAAATAGTAATAGTTATTGATTGGATTTATTACAATCATCCCGTAAAAATTGGAAAGAATCTATGATAATCTTTAAAGCAAACAAACAAAAGCCAAAAAACAACCAACCAGAAAAAACCCAAGGAAAAACCCCAAACAACCAAAGAAAAAAGAAAAAAAACCCCAAAACCCACTCAAAAAATAATTTCATCTATTACACTACCAAAACAGTTATTCATCAACAGATAGGAATTCCATATCTAATAACAAAATCCATCTGTGAATAATTCAAAAGAAATTTTCCAGAAACTGTACTGCATTTTTCCATACTTTTTATCATAACTGAATGGGCTCCCTGATAGATTTTCTTATTCAGAGGTACTTAAGCAGTAAATCAGAAGCAAATATGCAGTTATCTACAGTTTTTTGAAAATAAAATATCAAACAACCAATGCACCCTACAGGCTGCATTGTAAAAGGCACACAGCATATTTCTATTATGGATACATATTAAATTAATGCAGTTAATTTTAAAAGTTACTGATTCCCATCAAGTAACCAAAGGGGAACAGCAAATATGTAAAATATTACACAGGGAAAATACAGTCTCAATCCAATTGTATTTTTTCATTTACTGTCATTTAAACCATAACAATAATTAAACAATTAAATTAAACAAATTCTGTGGTCATTTTTGACCCATTTTTGTTTTTGGACCCTCGCTAAATAAAAAGGATTTATGGTAGTTTTGAGGATCAGTGGTTGGACTTAGTGATATTAAGGGTCTATGATTGCAGCTAAATGTATACATGCAAATATTTCTACTGGAGAATAGACTATGCACTGTCTGTAGATTTAGCATTATTTGCTTCTTGCATACTGTTATAAAGATCTTAAGAAATTCCTCTTACTGCATCTTACAGTCATGTCTTAATAACTTCCTTTGGTATTTACTGGAGCTGCAGAGCTACATTGACATTACTATTGCCTACAACTGCACTACCATTCCCAATTACCAAGCGGGGAAGCAGAGACAGACAAAGGCTGTATATGTATTTCTCTGTGAATCCCTTAATGAGTAAAAATTTGTCATATCACTCAAGAAATTAAAAGATACATTTAGACACTTTGACACTAGTTATCGAAATGTAAATCTAGACTGGTGGTACCAAATCATAGAATGATTTACAAAAACAATGGTAGCACATGACGTGGAATAGCTTCCAGACAGAAAGAATACGTTTGAGATTTTAATAAAAAATTATTAACAAGTTATATCGCCCCTCCACACCTTCCTTACAACTCCTTTCTAAAAATTTCTTAAGATCTTCCTAATATTTCTATGTGTATACTTAACTTCCTAGCTCTGATCAGGTTGCACAATAAATAACATGAACAAGAGGAATGTGGTACAGATCCATGCAGATGCTATTGGAATGCCATGGTGTGATCAACACTGACCCTGTTGCTCATTGAGAATGCACTATTAGGATATGCAAAGTAACTTACACGGGAATAGAGAAAGGCTGTATTCTTATTAGCATTCATGGGAGCTATGCAGCTCCAGTCCTGTTCATCAAGTTTGGAATATACCCTTTTGTTATTGATGGGAAAATGTCACCAGTTACAAATGCTTACACACAAGGGTGTAGCAGGGTCAAAGCAAACTCCAATACTTTCTTTCCCCTTCTAAGGCAGAGTGCTGCTTCAGCAGTTCTTTTTTGACCTGGTGATATACCTCTGTAGATAAAAGAAATGGTGAAATTCCCTGGTGCTGGTCTCTGCTGTAGCCTCACCACCCAAAGATTAAAAAAACCTCCAAAAGGATATTCTGTTAGTGGTGCGTGATGGATCAATCATTAGACACCACTGCAGGCATCCTTGCATACAAACTCTGACTTCAAATTCCTCTACAGATCACCCACAGCTCTGATGAAACTCATAAAACAGTCTTTCAAAAGCATGAATAGGGTCTGAGTCATCAGTTTCCCAGCTACAGATAACTGCAGTTACTTCACTTTTTTTACTGAAAGCTTCCTTAAAAAACTGAACTGCTTGGTGCTGCAAATATTCCTTGCCAGTTATGGTACTTCTCAATAGATGAAATCATAAATCACTAAGTTAAAATTAATTTTTTTCGAGATCCCACAAGAAAACTTTGGATTTATGGGAAATTAATTCAATTTTGTCACCTCCAACATTGCTCCTTCCAGAAATACAGTGGTAGAAGGTTCATTCTACCCACATTTAGCATCCCCAAAAAGACACAAAATCATTCTGGGACTCCTACAAATATGTTCACACATTTGTCATGTAATCTGACAATCCAAGCTTTGCTGGATAGCAGCTTCTAGGTGAGGCTCTATCTAAGCCTTCAGTGCCGCTGTGTTAATCACCACAAGCTGTGCTTCTGACCCATGATAAAAATAGAAAGCTTATTTCTGAGCAGGCTTTGATGGGGAAGATGCTATGAAAGAAGAAATTGCGCCTGTCTAGGAGAAACCACTGTTCACAGTTAATTACACCTCAGAGAAAACACTAAGAAACACTCAGCAAGGAAAATGTTATGTGGGCCAAAGCATCAAAAAAATACTAGGCTACTAAATGCTTTAGAAAGTGTCCAGACTTATAAGAAACTTCATTTTGAGGAAATTCTTACTACACTCGGTATCCACTGGGCTCTTTTCACAAGTGCAGAATAAGAAATCCAGAAAATTAGTTTCAACAAAGTAGGCCAAACTTCCCGCAGGAACAATATCACATTTAAATGCTAGTACTATTCCATGCTTTTTCACAAACAGCAGTGATCAACCTGAATGAAATAGCCAGCTTGTTATTTTGTCCTGACTTCTGTACCTAAGAATATTTCTACTCTTTCAGGCAAACCTCTGTGGTCTTGAGAGAAATGTACTGCTCTTGTTGATGGTATTTTGCTTGGGAGTACCTAGACAGTCTTGGGAATACCTTTATTTTAACTGATCCATCCCTTATATACAACAGAACGCTATTTTAAGGTAGATACAGATAAATATATGTATGTGTGTAACATATATACACAAAAAATAGGCTGACATACAAGAACACAATGTACCTTCACAGCTTGCTTTACAGTATCTGGAAATGTGGCTTCAGTTAAGTTTCTGTGGTGGGAATGTGACACTTCATAGAGCTACACAATTGTTAGCTCTTATTTTTATGTCTTCAGACTCAAGTCATCTGGTTTTCAAATGTAAAGACATTTTAAAAACCCTGCCTTTTTCAATATCAAACATGTTTCTAACCACTTTGGTTGTTTAGCAAGGCTCAAAAACAAAAGGGAAAAAAAACCCCAAACCCTAACTTAAAATTACCTTACGATCAAATTTAATCTATTTTCAAGAACCAGACCTACAAACTCATTCATCTTCAACAAATTTTTTTCAACATATTTAGCCTTAGAGAGGTCAGTTTTTTAAAGGAATACTGTTCTTGCTCCTGCTGTAATCCAAAACTTCCCCCTAAGGCTGTGTCAGCAAAAAGACACACTAAGTTAAATCTATTAGTTAGACTAGGACATCCATCTATTGCCTTAGCACCCCAAAAGCTGCTGACAGATCTTTAGAGCAAAAATCATTCTGCTAGGAAAGGAAAGCTGAAATATCGACAGAGTTTAATTTGTGGTACCTCTTTTGTAAGAAAGATCTATCAGCGAGGGCTAGATTTCTGTACCGCTGCAGTACTAGTGCTGAGGGGACAGCTGTGAGGGGATATAAAGAAACTGCCTAGCAGCTTCTAAGGGTGCAGCAAAGCGGTAGAAGAGCCAGGCGGGACTACGAGATACACAACGTGGAAAGGAACTGGGAACGCTAGGGGAAAAACGGTCTCAGAACATCCCAAATAATGACTCAAACTTCGTACATCTGAGCAGACTGCGTTCCTCCTGAAAGAGGATCAGCAAGAGCACACGGGGGGTTCGAGGGGAAGGCGGGGACGAAGCGCTTCCTCGCCCGGCAGCGTCGGGCCCACGCTCCGGCCCCCAAGGCCGAGTGGCTCAGCCACAGCGCTCTCTGGGTCGCGCCGGACCGGCACAGGCGGTGTGGAGCGGAGCACTACGGGGCAGCGGAGCGGGGCGAAGCAGTACCAGCGCCACGCGGTACCACACCACGCTCACCCGCCGAGCCGGCTCCGCACGGCCGAGCCCCGGGCCGGCCTCCCGCCACCCCCACCCCCGCCCCCGCGGCTGCGTGCGGCCGGCGCTTGGGCGTGGCCGCGCTGCGGACGTGGCAGCGCGGCCGCCATCGCGGTGGTTTCCATGTGGAGTGGGGGCAAGTAAAGTCGCGGTCCGGGGCGGAGCGAGCCGGCCAGGCACGGCACGGCTCGGCTCGGCTCTCACCTCCCCCCGGCGGCGTGGCCGGCGGTTACTAAGCCTGGAGGGAGCTGGGTGCGGGCGAGGAGGAGGGGCCGGCGCGGGGCTATCCGCGGAGGGCGCCACGCCTTTGCTGCATTCCACAGGGCCACCCGTGGAGCATGGCCGGCCGCGGCCCTGGCGGCGGCCCGCAGCCGTCCGCCGTGGCGCAGGCGCTCTCCGGTGGTCACTTGTACCCCTTCGTGAGCGCGGAGAGCGAGGGGCCCGAGGAGGACGGTGAGCTATCGGAACTGCGGCCGCGGGGCAGAGAAAAGGTCCGGCGGAGCGCGTCGAGGGACAGACTGGATGATATAGTTCTGCTGACGAAGGACATCCGGGAAGGGGACACGCTGAACGCGATCGCACTGCAGTTCTGCTGCTCCGTAAGTGCCCGGGCGGCGTGGGCCCCGCGAGGCTGCCCGCGGAGGCAGCGTGTGGTAAACGCGGTGTGTCTCAGAAGTGGAAAATTACGTCAAGTGTAATTTGACATGTTCGTGTTACAGAGTAGGGTTCCGGTTCCATGGGCTTTTCCCCTTAAAACTAATGCAAGTGTGAGAAACAAGCGCATAGTTTTGATTGTGACACTCTTTGAGCGTACATGCTGCCTTCAAAGCTCTTCTTCAGTCACAGGTCGGCACATCTAAGTAGCATTCGCGCTGTTGGGCTGGGTGACGAGGCTGTTGGTGAGCTATCTGAAGGGTTTGCGTGCAGGCCTATTCAATCAAAGTAGGGGGGAAAATCCTCCATATTTTTCTTTTGAATTCTGCTAAATTGCCCTATTATTTTAAGCATGAGCCTGCTCTACTTTTGGGAACTTCCCACCCCTGTGCACCCTTCTTTGTGTTCACTACTTCTAGCTCAGTTCTTACATTAGTCTGGTAAATGTGCTGCCTACCCAGTAATTTTGGCTGTGAGTACTATTAAGGTAATGGCATTAGTCTTGGTTGATGTTTTCCAGTTTTAACAGGAAATCAGCTGTGTGTGTTGATAGACTGAATGCTAAGTGCACAGGTGCCATGAGGTCAAGTTGAAAATCTGTATATACAGAATATGCTGTCATCTAATTCTTCAGGCAGAAGCAGAATTGTGGACCTCCTGTTGTGACTTTAGGTATTAAAGTCTTCACATAACTATTTCCTAATCATGATGGACCTTAGCGTTAAGGCTTGGCTTCAGAACCTACTGCAGCTGGATATTTTGAGCAGCTTTATGAGGTCAGGCCTCACTAAGAAAGGAAGGATAACTAAATTGTGCTCTTTCTTGCAAATTCAGGAGAACGTGGAAGAGCGATCCTGGGACTTGAGGCAGAAAGTATAAGTTGCATTGTGCTGGAATCATATATTGCTGCATTTGGCAGTCTTGTATTCTTACCCAATTTATTCCGCCTCATGCAATTAACAAATACACTGCCATATTAACTGAAGGACTTCTTCACCTTAAAAAGGTTTGTGTGAACTTGGATACAGTGCCTCTTCAAATGGGCGTAATTTCTGTGTGCTTTGCAGGTGTTGCAGAAAAGCACTGATTTTGAAGTTTTTCATTATGGTGAAGTTTGCGGCTGTGCCTTCTTTCTCAGTGAGGGAGTTACCATCTGAAAGTGAAGCCAGTGATTATCCCAGTGCATCCTGCAGAGTGTTTCACATTAGACTTAAAATCTGAACTTACTGCAAGCAAAGTGAGATTAATTTTGAACAAGAATAGGAAAAGGGGAGAGCTGACTTGGATAAGGTAGATGACAGTAGTTTAAAAGTTTGACTTGTTTTCTGCTGTAGTCCCCAGAAGCAGCAAAAAAACATGCCTGTGGCTAGATGAATTGCACACTCATATTTTGTAATCACTCCTAACTCAGAAGTTGGTCACTGAATTAGAAATTAACAGTAATTTACATAATTTGAAAACTTAAAATGAGGTGAATTGTCATTAATTTCACAGATGCCTGCCAACTGATAGCTGAAGATACATATAATAAATGTATCTATGTGAAGTGACTTTCAGACTTCTTATCTGAAGTGAGAGGGTTTTTGCATCATAATTAATTTCCTTCTTGTTATAAAGTTGTTAGGATTTGGTCTTTGACCTCTTCTGACTTCATACTGTATGAATGGGTATAAATTTTTAAAAACCCAATGGTAATGAAAACCAAAGGCCTTGCCTTAGACTTCAACTTCAGAAAATCTAAACTTAATTTGTGCAAAATTATATTTTGAGCAACAATACAATATCAATAAAAGGAGAGCTGACTAGAGTAGGGCAAAAACAGGCCTTGTCTTTGTTTCCATACAAAAGACTTGTATTTCTTAAAGGTGTAGTACTATTAAGAGAGTTTTGGTTCAATGGAATACGATGTTTTAGCTGTTGTTTTCATTTTTAGGTTGCAGATATCAAGAGAGTTAACAATCTTATCAACGATCAAGATTTTTTTGCCCTGAGGTCTATCAAAATTCCAGTGAAAAAGTTCAGTGTATTGACTGAAACCCATATATATCCAAAAGGAAAACCAGCTCTTCGGCCTGCTCTGTGTTCCCCAGAAGATCACGAAACATCTCTTTGTGATAAATTCTCTGCTAATGAGACTGCTGGCAACTTCTTAAAAGAAGTCGATCGAGATATAGAAGAAATAGTGAAGTGTAATGATACAAAGAGAGAGAATCTGAATGAAGTTGTTTCTGCTTTAGCAGCCCAACAGATCTGTTTTGAAACTGATAGTAAAACTAAAAAATGCAAGGATCCTTACTATGGAGCAGACTGGGGTATAGGGTGGTGGACAGCAGTAGTGATTATGTTGATTATTGGCATCGTAACTCCAGTTTTTTATCTCCTCTATTATGAAGTTCTAGTGAAAGCAGATGTCAGTCATCATTTTCCAATGGAATCTTCCCATTTGTTTGTCACAGCAGTATCGCATCAGAAAGAAACAGAAAATGGAATAAATCCAACAAATATTATGCAAGTTGATCATCAAGGAGACCTTCAGCATTAGTAGTGGAAGACCCTAGACAACTGTTGTATGTAGATACATAACATAACCTTAGGTAAAGGGGAATCCACAGAATGCAAAATGCACTTGGAACGCAGAGATGTGTATTGATGTGTGACTTGCCTTTATGGGCAGTGTTCCACTACAAGGATATTTCTGGGGATCACATAATCTCTGAATATGTCTCAGACAGGCAGTTTGCAAGATTGGGCTGTATATTAAGGTATGAAGTCATCGCTGAAGCTTTGCACTTTCTTCTATTTTGATAGGCATGTTTTTTAATTAATGATGAGGTGGAAAAATATAGTTCAAACTAACGCACAAGGATTCTTTGTGTTTTACAGCCCAGAAGTGGGCATATGGGGATAGCTAACTTTTAAACATCTGAAAGAATTTACAGAATTCATAGTACACTTGACATTTTAATACCAGGTTTACAGTTGTAGGTTAAAGTAGTGTTCTCATAATTTAACCTTTCTTATAGAGTAAAATTTTTTTAAAAACTCGGTCATTCCATAATTAATAGCCACTATGAAGTTCTTTTTTACAGAGGCAGTAGAAAACACTTAAACTGGAATCTTGAAATCTCGTGCCTATGGTCAACCCATTCTTTAGTACTTTTCAGTATAGGCACTAGATAATTTGTTTTCTCTGTGGGATTCTGTGCTTCAACACAGTCCACTTAGGAGTCCTCCTGAAAATTTACGTTCTTCCTTGGTTTCCTGCTGAAAACTGACTGCATTCTCATCTGGTCACCTGTGTGTAGAATGAAAGAAGTGAAGAAGTGTGGCACCTTGCTGTAACTGCCCCAGCAGTCCTTATTTGCTGCTAATAGATTTATCTTTTTCCCCTCCAGTTAATCTCAGTTCAGGACCAACTGATTATTCAGATAGCAGTCATGTGGGTACTGAGCATGCTAATACTGGTCTTCTGCTGATGAACCTCAAGCTCTTAACTTTTTCCTGAAGTGTCCTAGAAAACTTCAAATTAATCTTAATGCCTGCTACCAAATTTGAGCAGAATAGCCAACTTGCATCTTCAGACTTGTACTTCATATATTAGTGTATTCATTAACCAATCCCCTCCTAAATGTTTCTCTTGGAGTTTCATGATCAGCCTTGGTTTTCCCCTCTTTTTCTTACCAATCTAAAAATGCTTCAAGATAAAAACCAAAAAAACACCATAAAAACATAAATAAAACCCCCACACCTCTGGACTCTTCATACAGAAAGGAGGTACTTGTGTACTCAGAATACTTTTAAATGAAAACTGAAATGGTGCCTATAATTATTTTGGTTATATTTGCATTGTGGAGCAAGAATTCCATTGCCCTGTTCAAAATAGTATTTATTACCAAAACCCAAGATAACAGACTTGATTAGGATTTAAAAAGAGAGAAGTGGAAAAACAGCATCCTTGAAACTACTATTGTAATTACCTTTTCAATTAATGTCTTGACTAAGTATATACAATACAAAAAGGTAAAGTGAATGTGTTCTAACTATTGAGGTATTCCAAAATGCTCTGTGAGATTATTAGAGTGAAAACTTAGGCCCCATTTATTCTTGGGGCACCTGTTTCCCCAAGAAGTGGGGCAGATGGTCTCCACTGGCCTGCCGAGTGTATGAACAAGAATTGGCTAACTTGTGTTATATTGACATTGAGGCAGGCCAAAGCTTGAAGGAAAGTGGTGTAAAGTTAGGTACCTGAACTATGATCTGTGACTGTTGAACCTTTTGATTAAAGGAGCATCTGTGGAGACAGTGAGCCTATTCATAGTCTCCACACTAGAAAAGGAATTACAAACAGCATGAACTTGATGGTTTGCATAACACTTGTTTTCAAAGATCTTTTAAAATAGTAGTTCTTTTCTTTTAAGAGAATATGCCAGTAAAACATAAACACTGATGTAGCAGTTGTAGTCACTTAAATGCTGTATGCAAAAATCCTTCATGAAATAATTTATGGTGGCTAAAGTGATATAGCTCTCATGGTTAAAACTTTAAAAAGTGACTCACTCAGACATAGTTTTGGCACATAAAAAATGTTTTCTATATAGGATGAAACTTGGTATATAATGCGTGATTTTATTTGCTGCATAATTTTATTGTTTTGCTTCTTCACCCATCATGTTCCTGAAAATCACCAGTTCTAATACTTTATCCTTCCATTTCTTATGGATTCATCAAAGAACATTAAATTAGCTACTGTGATGATGCAGCATAAGCCTAATATGTAGCACATACCTGAACTTATGGTTACTACATTGCTGTTGGTACCGAAGTGAAATTAACTGTGGTTGTGGTTCAACTAGGTCAGGAGGTCTGTGGTGGTACAGCTAAAGAGTCCTCTAGTGTGTCCCAGACTTTGCGCTTTTTCCTGTGTCAAAGACCTTGGCTTACTGGCACTGAGTTAAGGGTGATGTGCCTTGATTTACCTCAGGATAAGCAGTCTTCAGAAAAACAGAGTAGCTATTTTATGGGACCATATTCCATTCTAACCAGGAGCTGGGCATGTTTATACATATATATTACGTGGCATATTCCACACAGTACATTTTTATTTAGAGTTAACTTTATCAGAAGATAGAGTAGAACTCTTTTCAAGATTGTAGCATTCCTGAATCTGGTGATCTACAACCATCAGCTGGCTTGCCTTGCTGCAGAATGTGGGGATCTTTACAGCTTTTTTCTCCAAAGTACAACACAACGAGTAATTCATCATCACAGCTTGGAATAAACAGGATAGCTGCTCTGTGAGGAACTTAAATCTGATTCAAGATAAAATCTGTGAAGGTAGTCTTCTAGAAACTGACTTCTTAAATAAACAAAAACAAAGACAAATAAACTCCAAAAGCAAACAAAAAAGAGCCAAAACTCCCACAAACATGGAATAATTGAGTTGTAAATCACCTTTTGAAATAATTGCAACATGTTGTTCAGGAAATGGGTTTGAAACTTAAGTGCATATTGCACTGCTGGATCATATAAAATCTAAATGTTTTAAGTCTGGTATACTTCATAGTAGTGTTCTCACAAATAGTCTTTGTAACTTATATAAGGGCTGAAAATACAACTGTGAATTACTTATGAGTGAGGATGCAAGTCTTATTTTAAATACTTCTCTGCTTTTAGAAAAACATAAGTAATATATGTAAAATAAAGATTTTATTTTAGACTGTGGTGCAGATGGTGCATCTAATATATTTTTAGTTCTATGTACTTTGCATGTTTTATTACAGCCGGCTACTACATGTATTTGTTTAGGCCAATTTTTGTGAATGATCTACTATAAAAATCCTTAGCCAGCAAGTACTGTGTTGGCAGTCTTCATATCTAGCATACCATAATTGCAGCCTTTAGGGTTTATTCTGTTCATGGCTTGTAAACTTTGAATGTTTCTGCATAAATTTTTGAGAACTTTTTAGTTCTTAGAAATAGGTATGAACAACTAAGGGAGAGATCACTGAAGTTTTTAGACAGTGAGAAGACACTGAATACAGTATTTTTCTTTGCTGTAAGTTAGGGTTTGAATATGCCTGTCCAAATTTGAAGTTTGCTGAAAACTAAGCTGTAAGTTTTATTGCCATTATGGTCTTGCAATAAATTCTAAGCAATGAGAAAATCAGCTTCTAAACAGAGGTGCGAGTATTACACCTGTAGAAGAGCACAATCTCACTGCTTTTCAGAAGTGCCTTGGCACTGATCTGTGTCCTTGCAGAACTTGTTCCTAATTGATGGCCTTATTTACCATAGCTGAACTATTCCTGGAGAGTCCAGCCTAAGACTTTGCAATTCCCTCTGGAGGATAGAGGTGACTACCTCTAAACTACTAAGTTTAGCTCTTAAAGGACTCAGAAAGACCTGATTTTTACCAGAGTAATATTTTTCAACAGTGCAGTAGGAAGGCAGTTGCCCATTAGAAGACTGATGAATGGAGAAAGTAATAGATCCTCAAGAATTACTGTCTGCTACAGAATAAGAGAGTGTACTTGTTCAGGCAAATTATAGTTCCACCTATTTGCTTTTTTTTTGTAGGGGGAAAGGAGTCTCACCATGCACCTTGCACAGGGAGAATAGCTAGCAGAAGCAGTTATAGTCAAAGCAAGCAAATTTAATTTTCAGCATATTTCCCTCATTCACATCTTCTATGTTTTGTATATCAGAAGTTCACAGAATAATACAGAATTGTTTCCCAGTCACCAGTAAGGTGAAACACTTTTTTAAAGGAAATAACACTTCAAAACCAAGCAACAAGAAAAGCCCAGTAACCCTGATCAACAGTAATGTAGTAACAATAAAAACCAGTATTTTTTACTATCAAAAGACATTAAGATACAGAGAATGTGCTGTCACAGTGTTCTTCAGGCATCGAATCTCAGTAATAAGTTTTCAGCACTACAGCTGTTGGTTCTCAAATAAAAAGGATGTTTCCAAACAGTCAGCTCTGGCTTTTTCTTGGCATTCTCTTATTTTTCTGATTAAAACAATGCATTAAAATACTTCACCGCACTCCTTTTCTATAGTTTGGGGTTTGTTTCTTACTGATTTTTTGTCTGTCTTCTTTGTTCGGTAGGAAAGTAAATAAGTACATCAACAATTACATAGATAGCTATTATCTGCCAGCTCACTTAACGGGTCTGAGGTAAGAAAGTATTGCCCTAACAGGTGGAGAAACTGAGGCAAAGGGTTCAAATTTTTATCGCTGCCATATATTCTTTTTAAGCCAGATTATCCTTAATTATGATTTCTGCTAATTCATTAAGGTATACTTCGTAATATGTTAATATTTTAATGTGTTCCTTTTTAACCAAAATACTAAAGGCAATGTGTTCTTTTAACTAGATGAATGGTTTTTCAGATTACTGTCACGTTGTTTGTCTATATTACTAAGGTACTTCAGAGTCAGTTTATATTGAAGTGCATAGTTGTCAGTTTTCAGTTACCTGAACTCAGAAGTTACATAAAGTTCTTCAAAGGAGTCAGCTACCAACAAGCAGCCTATGTCCATAAAGTCTATGTGTCTTTTTTTTTTACAGTGGTCATCAAAAATTTTGTTATTTATTTCAAAATTTTACTGTTGAGGCATGGAATTGACTAATGGAAATGCTTAGACAGAATTTCAAGTAAAATGCATTTTTTTTTTTCTGTGCAGAGGAAACAATGGCATAAAGCTTACTCTATTCGTAAGCGTTACAGAGGACCTTAAAAAGGCACATCTGCAAAACACTTGGCAAAACAACAAAACAAAGGATTCCCTAGCCTCTTTAACAGAATACTATAATTAAACTCGAGTGTGTTTTTGGAGAATCTGCTTAAAACCAACAAAGCTAAAGCATTCAGTCTCTTTATACTCGGCCTATCTCCAGAATTCTGCTTCAGGTAGTGTACATGTGTAGAGAAGACAATTTATAGAAGAAAGATGATTTCAACTGCACTTGAGCACCCACACTTTAAAACAGTAATAGATTATTTGGAAAGAAAAAGGAAAATCCTGTATTGAAGTCCTGACGTATATGAAACAACAGGCGTCACTATTTTAGTGATAAAAAGAAGTAATTGTGTGTATTGATTGTGTCAACAGTCTTGTGTATAAGATTTTTTTATCAGAGCTCTTAGTGAGTAATAAGTCTAGAACAGTCACTTAAATTTACAATACAGTGTAGTGCAACAAAGATAATAAATGTAATAATTTCTCCCAAAACAACTCTGCCTTATTGGGAGATAGGGACATTTCTTTGCTAGCGAATGCTATCAGTGATGGGGATCTGACTATAAATAGGAACACTAACATTATACCTCTTCATGCTCTTCATCATATTCCTCTGGTTCTTCTGCTTCTTCATCATCTTCACCTTCTTTGTGTTTTGTCTTTCTCCTCATCCTTCTTTTCTAGTGCCTGTCACAAGGCAATCTCTTAACAAGGTAATTCCATGTTACAGCAACAGCATGTTCATACTACTATAGAGTTAAGATGCAGTTAACAGCAGGACAGTATTATAACAATGCAGTGCAAATGTTGTGTCAATATTTAAAACAATATGATGTGAAGCACAAGAACTTAATAAGGATTTACGTGGTCAAGCATCAGCCATAAAAAACCATGTCCTGTGTAATAAACTGAGATGACAATTTCCCTTTACCAACCACTGTTAGAACAGTTGACAGAAGACCATGTCATACTTGATAAATCAATACCAGGTACTGTATGTAATAATGTAACTGCTTTAAACAACTGGTGGATCAGCAGAAGAAAAAATACAAAGCTGTTTCACCTTAAAGATTCCCACGGCCATGTTAAGTAATTGCCAACAAAACAGAGGTCATGTCCTAAGTTCCTGTATGTTTCTTCTTTCTCAACTCAGTAAATTGTTTAAGTTCCAACATCAGTACATTGATGAAACAGCAACAGATTTAAAAACAGTGGTACCAGTTCCTCCTATAAGCTCTGATAGTAGCTGTACTGCTCACATTAGGCTGTATTGCTACTCAGTGAAGAGCAGTTGGTTCTTGTGTTCCGGTACAACCAAAAGCGAAGAAAGTAGTTTCTCCACAGCCAGATTCTCCTTACCCTAACCCTTGTGCCACCATGCTACAGAACAGTTGTCTGTCAGAGTAGCAAGACAAGACCAGAAAAAATCTGTGCTGGTTATTCCATTTGTACTAATAAACATATTAGGTTTCATTTTCCTTCAATTTCTATTGTAAAATTTAGAAATAGTCTGCACATATTATATCAATTCTTTTAATGACATCCAGATTTCTTTTAGGCTCAGAGGTTTTTGGTTTTGCTCATAGTAAAATAAAATACATCACTTTTCTCTTTTGTTTTAATTGTGAAAAAGACAAATTCTCTTGTTTTACTTGTTCTTAAGAATAAATACATCCTAACTATGCCATGGAAATCCCATACTGTCTGTATTAAAGTTACCTGAGACTTTGAGCTACATCATTCACAGAGATGTAAATGTCTGATTTATGTAAGAGATACCTAGAAGGCCGGTCTGAAATTCAGTTTGAACAAGTAGTTGACCAAAGGCTGGGCTAAAATACAACATTCAGCTTCACAACATACTAGTCACCTATATACTTGAAATATGCTAAGAAACTAGAACAGAATTTCACTTGTTATGTTTAATCATCTTGAAAAGATAAAAACTCATTTTTACTAATTTATACAAAACATTAATGATGGATGCTTAAGACAAGTAGATGTAAAAAAAGGGCAGAAGTTCATTAGTTCTAACAGAAGGCATGATTACTATAGCTACATGGCTTTTGGGCTACAGTTGGCTCTCATCTAATGAATCTATGTTGTGTAATTCTGAATAGTTCCCTGATTCATGAACATAATCTTTATCAAGTTACTCCCTGATTAACTGTATGGTGGAGCAAAGATCAAAAATAGTAAACTATATATCCAGGTAAGAGGTATTTGAATGGCAGCACCCTAAACCAAAGTTCCCCAAATACTCAAGGAAGGGGAATACTGGGAACTGCTGAGAAAACACCTATATTTTATCAAAAGCATTTGTCATCAATAACATTGAGTTTATTCCAGTGTTTTGGCTAGGAAAGGATTATATGACTATGCATGGAGCTCAGAGGAGTCAAGCTGCTCAGCAAAAACATGAACAGTATCAAAGCAAACACATCCAGAATGAAGTAGGCTTTTTAGGAAAAGAAGCAGTGCAATTCAGAATTATCATCCCTGCACATCCCTGCACAACCTCCTGCAAGCTTTTACAGATAATGCATATAGAACAGACATGTGAGATTTGTCTCTAAAAGCTGGGCATCTTTGGCCCTTATAAAATTAGAGACACTGGCCCATTGTTAGAACTTCAAGAAAAATAGCTCCCTATGTTATAGACCTGAGAGGTGCAATGGAATACAGTCTAATCTAATTTCCAAATACCTGGTCTTGCAGTACTTGGGCTAAAAAGCATACATTTAAGTGCTATATACCTATGCATATGGCTGGCCTACAATGTCAACTGAACCCAGATGACATTTTTATTTATTTTATTTATGTATTTTTAATTTTCAGCAGGCACTGCTGGTATCTAGGATATTGCATTTCACAGCCCAGGGTCAGTGTGGGAGAGATGTGGAATTCTACCTGAAGTTTTGTCACTGAGAAGGCAGGTGGTCAGGTCTTCAGTTAAAACATCCACAGAAACCAGAAAGAGGGAGGGGAGGTGTGTAAAAGTAAAGGTGCCCCTGCGCATGGAACTGTATTGATCCCAAAACCACTCCTGCAAGCTAAAAAGGGAGAATGGTAGGAATCTGGTTTGAATTTCTTTACAAATTCTGTTGATTTGTTCACCTTTGTTCCACCATGGTTAAAGTGTTACCTAAGCTATGTGTCCTCAAAATACAACAAAGATGCATACTGGGAGCTCTAACGGGTCATTGATCAGCTATGTACAAACTTCCTGGCTCATATATGTATCATTAGGATTCCACCAAAAAAAAAAAAAAAACAAAAAAAAAACAAAAAAAAAAACCCAAACAAACAAAAAACCCTAAATTGACAATCAGGAGTCCACAAAAAACCCTTGCTCCACATTAGTTTTGCTTTTAAGGGAACCTGGTTTTTAATCCAAACAAATTCTGATGGTCAGCTGATCTTTGCCATTATAACATGTAGAGGAATGTAGTTTTAAGTGCCAGTAGAGAAACTGGAATTAAAGAAAGAAAAATTCCCCCAGTGAGCAGTCATTCTCTTTTTATGATCTCAGGGTGAAAACTATTGTGCACAGGCTTATAGAAGTTTCTTCTTTTGGAATAAAACCCCAGGAATATTCTGGTCCCACCTTTGGAGATTTTGCAAATAAGTATCTCATTTTCAGTTGAATCTTACAGTCTACCTTCTGTATTATGCTTCTCAATGATGCTCTAAAAAGGAACAAAGATTCCAGCTGAACCAGTCTCTGTGACTACGCACATTCCCATTCCTTTTTCTGTTTTATCCATGAACTGAAAAATGACACATGAAAGACTTGGAAGAAAGCGAACAATTATATATAAACAGACAGCTAAACACAGCAGGCCAAGTGTTTCTTCTCACAGGAGGCCACAAATTTCCACAGAGAACTTAAAATAAGTCATGCATACTAGAAAACATTTTGAGAAACAAATAATGCTGTGTAATACAAGTCTGGTTTCTGTAAGAACTACTACTACCAGTTCCAACTACTTTTCAACGATCTGATTCACGATTCTGCAGACAAAAGCTGAAAATAAAGTAAAATCAGGGAAAATAAAAAATAACCCACATTAAATTAAATAATTAAATTAAATAACCCACATTAAATATAAAAGGCTTAAAAATTTCAAAAAATCAATCAAATCATTAACAAGATAACTGAGAAACCAAACCATAAAGGAAACCTGAACAGCCAGTTACTGCTGAGTAGAAGGATGAGTGGTGACTAAAGAGACAAGTTTTCAAAACAAAAAACATTTGTGGATTTTTAAAAAATTTTATACTGTTACATATCTTGTACATTAATATGGAGCATCAACAGAAAAGGCAGAAAAAAGGAAGGTAAATCTGTTCCACTAAGTTAAAACATCCTACAGAAGCAAGCAAAAATCACAAAAGACAGACTAATAAAATATTTAGGGAAGGAATCTGCCAAAAGCTTTAATGATTTAGACTAAATAACATTTCTAGCATTTTTTCCTCTTAACTATCTCCATTAGAGGTTCTGTCTCTCAACTACTATGTAATATTTGCTTCTCAAAATATATAACATACTTGTTTTGTTTCTCTTCTTTGGTTTCATCTATCTTGGGAGTCTTCTCCAATCTGTACAGAAAATAGCTTTAATATAGAAAAATAATATTTTACGGCAGTAATCCTTTCCCTGCCACCAGGGAAAGGAAGGGTGCTCAATCCTATTTACATGCATGCCAAAATGTTTTAGCACAACAGTTTTAGGGCATTCTAGCTGTAATTTAAATTGAGGAACAGGAGTCAGGATTGCCATTTCACCCACATAATGACAACTGGTTCTATCCCAAGGAGACAAAGTTCAGCCACTCCAGTGGCCCATGGGCTCTTACTTATTATGTAATTAAGTTTTCAGTAGTGAGCTATAAAGATATGGTTGGGGAAGGCTAATATTATAAAACATAGCTTCCCACGACAGACATAAGGTTGGGTTATTTTTAGTAATATCAATGTTTGCTCCCAGTTCAAAAGTCTTATGAAGTGATTAAGGAAAAAGGAGAGCAAGAGTGAGAGCTAAAGTTTGCATTTGTGCTGCCAATGGGTTGTTACAACAGAGTAAATAAATAAAAGCAGATTCTTTCCTTTTTTTTTTTTTTTGACAAAACAATACTTACCTTGATCTGAAATCATGCTAAGTACAGTTACTCTCAACATACAAGATTCGAAGGAATATATTATGTGGTAATTATTTCATACTTTTTTTATTGTTTGAAAAATAACAAATCAAATACTTAAAAGATCAAAACACTTCACAGGTTCATAGAAAATTAGCCTTTGATAACCTTAGCTATTTCCTGGTGTCCATGTTTCCTGCTCCTTTGCTTTATCCTGGTACTCCTGACTATCTCTCAGTTGCTATAGAGAGTGTTATTCAGTTCACAGTCAAGGCATCCAGACACAGTCCCTCTACATACAGCATATTTTTCTAATCCCAAATTGAACAGTTTCTTGTTGTCAAGCAGTAAAAAAAACAAACAAAAAACCCACTCCAAAACAAACAAAAAACACCCAATACTCCAAAATACTATAATTTATTTGTATCCTTGAAAAGCATGGAATTTTTAAATGCAGATTTATTCAGAGTGGAAACATCAAATATAACACTAATTCTCTACTCTTCAAGAGTTTCACAATCAAACATTTATTACAAAACCAGTGAGTAACATTTAACACCACTGTTAATCATAAATAGTATCCAGTATTCCCAAGTCTCAAAAGGTTGTGTCTAATCATCAGCTTCCAAGACTTTCAGTACTTCTGCAATGGAAAAGCTCTGCATCCTATCCAAACCAGCAGCTAAACACTTTAATCTATTTAACCTTCTTGCAGGCACAAGAACTAATTTGAGAAATTAACTGTAAATAATACAGTAGTCATACAGTGCAAGTACACCCATTCATATGGAATAACCTTTTATATACAATCTCTAATGCCAAAAGCAGTACCAAAACTTTAGTATTCTTAAATCAGTCACATTTTTTCTTGACAAATTACCACACGCAAAATACACTTTGTGTAAAATAACTGAATCTGATTGCACTGTTAACCCAAGTAGAGATAATATTTGCAGATATTTTACAAAAAATAGTAACAAAGATAGCCTTTGACCTTTAGTATCAAAGACTTCTAGCACATAATCACAGAATCACAGAAGAGTTTGAGTTGGAAGGAACCTTAACCATCATCTTGTTCTAACCCTACTGCCACAGGCAGGGACACCTTGCACTAGACCAGGTTACTCAAAGCTGCATCCAGCCTGGAGTTCAACACCTCCAGAAATGGGACATTGTTGCAGTGTGTTTTTTGTTTTATTAGTAGGTTTATTGTTTGATTTGTAATTTGGTAGTTTTCTTTATGTTGTTTCCTTTTTGTTCCCACCTTTTCCCAGAATTTTTGTCACTTTTCTTGTTAGTTGCTAGTTTCTATTTCTCCAAACTCTATCAGTTTACTGAAACTGTTCCCCTCCCTTGGTATTTTCATTGGTTTATACATTGTGGTTCTCGCCTTGTTTTTCACTCGCAACTCTCCTGATTTGTTAAAAATTGTACCCTCCCCAGAGACCTGTCCCCACATGTAAGCTCTTGTCTGCCCCTTGTTTGGGGTCCCAGGATGAAGAAGAGGGGAAGTTTTACCATCAAATAAAGTTACCCCAGGACTGGTGTGCTGCCTTGTGTTTTATGCTGTGCCAACAGCTGGTAGCTGGGATTCACAGGGCTTGAGGGGGGATCTTTTGAGGGGGGATCTTCTGCCCGCACCTCCCCCCACCCCAAGTCATCAGCTAGCCGGGAGGAGCGGCAGGGCATCCACAACTTCCCTGAGCAACATTTGTCAGTGCCTCAACATCATCATTAGGTAAAGAATTTCTTCCTAATGTCTAATCTAAATCTACTCTCTTTCAATTTGAACCCATTCCCCCTTGTCCTGTCACTAAATGCTATTGCCCATCTTTTCTGTAAATTCCCTTAAGATACTGAAAGGCTACAATTAAGTCAGCCTGAAGTCTTCTCTTTTCCAAGCTGAATAATCACAATTCTCTCAGTCTCTCCTCATAGCAGAAGTTCTCCATCCCTCTGATCAACTGAGTGACCTCTTCTGGACTTTTTCCAACAGGTCCAGAACATGTTGTTCCAACATGTTCGTCCTGTGCTGGGACTCCAGAGCTTATGCAGAATGGTAGGTGGGGTCCCACCAAACCAAGGAAGAGGGGAATAACCCCTCCCTCAACATGCTGGCAATGGCCCGCCCAACCCAGGTGCAGCACTTTGCACTCACTCCATGGGATTGAAATTTCCAGGTAGAATATGGCTTTCACTTGCTACCTGAATAATGAAAGATAAACAGATACATCCTAACTAATTAAAAATTTCCCTTTTCACACTTCAAAGGACCATTTGGCTCACAGATACTGCTCTGAGGTTTTTGTAACAATCCATTCAGTCTTGTAGCAAAGACAATTTATGAATTTTCTGCTTACCGCCCACCCTATAACACCCTCTTGGTTTTACAAGATGTTTTGTAAACCAGGTAAGAGAAAATATCACTAAAAATAATCTACTCTACAGTTTCTTAAAGCTAGACCACTTTTGCCACAGAATGCAGTCCCAGAGACAACTGCACATTGCAAATGAGAAAAAAAGAAGCTTTTTAAATTTAAGACCATCACTGATGTCCCACCCCTCAGATATGGCATTTTTGTATGATTCAAGATCCAGTAAAAAGATACCTCAAGTAACCAACTTACCCTTGCAGGGGTGGTGAGAACATTTGAAGCATTATTTGAATCTATAAAGTGGCTGTCTACCTGCTCTCCCTGCAACTGCCAATTCTGATAGGAAACAGTTTTCAAAACTGCCAGTTCTATTAAAGAATACACTCAACAACAGAGAGAGATCTGTCCATCTCAGAAAGGCTTCAGGAACAAACATAATACTGGTGAACAGTAAGAATGATCACATGATGTAAAGTCAGGAAAGAGAGACAGCATTTGTTATGAGTAAAAAAGTTACCCAATTTTTTTTAAGGTTGCAGAGTTAAAACAGGTTGGACCAGTTGCTGTTGAGTTGAAGGTTTGACTATTTGTTGTTTCATAGCTTCATGTTGCAGTCACCTGTTATTGAGAGTTTTTCTTCAATTGCCTGTTAATGCTTGGTGATCAGCGCAATTGTTCCCCTGCTGCATCCCCGGGGAATGACACGAGACCCTGCAGGTAGCAGGGTGGGGGCGGGGGGAATGCAGATGAGAATGCATTTCACCAGATTTTGCAATTTTCCAGGGAAAAAACCCCTAAAAACAACGAGCCAACATGGAATTAAGAGACCTAAGTAATGTCTAAAGGTGAAGAACTTAATCCAGTATCTGCTATAAAGATGTCAGCTAGGAAAGAGGACCTGGAGGTTAGACTGAAAAAGTGGAATTCCCATTACTCCCTGCTCTGCCTGCATAGCAGCGGACACAGCTGCATCATCCTCCTCCTCCGTGCCACTCCTGGGAGCAGCAGTGGTGTGGGCGACCTGTTATTTCTCCCAACCTGAGCTGAATTTTTTAATAAAGGCATTAAAAAGGAGAAAGATCTCCTGCCCTATTTATTTCAGCATTGTCTCATAAAGCAGCTGGTTCATTGGAAATAATCCTGGCTGGCTCTCACACACCAGTTTTCTTTTTTGTGCCTCTAACAGAAATTGCAAACTTCAAGCCTGACAAAGATCAAGAGTGCAGCCAGCCTGCAGTGAGATGGAAATCCAAAGACGCTGAAACTTGTTTACCCAGAAAATGAAAGAGGACATATGATAAAAGAGTAATTCAAAATTCTATCATCATAAAAGGATCTAGAAATAAGGATCAGATCTGTTCTTGCCTCATAACCAGTTTTACCTGTTTGCACCACCTGAACCCCAGCTGCAGATCAGGTGAAATACTCTGTCTTTTGTGAGCCACAACGTCTGGCTGGCAGTGTGTTCACTGCTCACAGTGCTGGTCCATTTCATACATGGCTTTAGTACACAACAACTGGACAATAAGGAGTGTTACATTCAAAGCCTAATTAAAAAGAATTGCATACAGTTTCAAAACCACCAGAATTCACCACGAACACTAATGAACAAAAATTGTGAGGGGATTGGATTATGCACCTATTCATTATCATAATGATTATCTACCCAGAAAATATTCTGATGGGTTTTGTGTGGAAATGAATCCTTCCGTTTTAGATTATAAGTCAGTTCCCATTATTCAAAATCACCACAAGACAGGAAAGAAAATATTATCTAGTGTTTAGCCACTTCAGGTTTTTAAACACTTTTATGAAGCTGTAACAGCACTTTCCATTTATAACATTCAGAATAAGCACTCAGCAGCTAATAAAACTAGCCAAAATATCACGAATGTAAAGAAACACTTCTCACAGTAATAATCACCAGTGACTTCTAGATCTACAATGTCCTCACAGTATAGTAAACAGACACATCAGTGTTTCTGCTCCACTTTCCTTCTTTCCCACGAGCTCAGCTTTCTGACCAGAAAGCTTGAATTTTAACAGTATAATGATGTATGACTGGATGTCAAGTATAACTCCAGCATTTACTGTTATCAAAAATAACAAAGCTATTAATTTTTAGTTATGTGTAAGCAAAAGCAAATCTGAGGTCCCACAGAATAAAATCAAGATCTGGCTTATAATCCAGCTCTGCTTCCAATAAAAACTTCATTAAATCACTTATGCTCACCTCAGTCTTCGTATTTCAAGGGACTTGTCAGTAACACTTACTAATATTTCCTGAATGGACTTAGGGGGGAAAGAAACTGAGTACCTTTTATTATTTTTATCTATTAAATATAATATTATTTTTTGTGTATCTTTACACAATTTCAAGGAAAGCTGAATTCAACACTAGTATTTACTACATATTTCTTTGCTGTGATGAAAAAGTTTAGGGTATTGTAACACATAGAAATACCAAATTAGCTTGTACTGGCTAGCATATAATTGAATAGGCTGCATGTAGATGGTCTAAATGTTCATTACTGTATACCAAATGGAACAGATGTTTGATACCTCTCTTTTCCACACAGTAGTGTCTTTCCAGTTACAGCACTTCAATACATGTAAAAGCAGAAAAATTCCCTATTAGCTTAAGCTGCCATTTTTACTTCCTCATTATAAGAATGAAACTCATCCTCAACACTTGCTTTACACTACCTCAACCTTCACAGAATAATAAGATGTCAATAAAAATAAAAAGCACACAAACCTTTAATGTTTATCTCCTACTGTCAAGAAGTATGGCATTTTTTTCGTAGTATCTCTAAGATCTTGTTTTAAGTCCAACAAGTAATCTTCATCTTCTATTTTCAGAGGTGTTGGCTTATTGTCCATACTCTGTACAAATTATGTTTATTATTTATAAGGTCCTGATATCCACCAAAAATACAGGTACATTAATAAAAGCTACAAGAAACTGTCGTGGTTTGACCAGGAAGGGAGTTTCTGGAAAAGTTATGGTCAAACCAATCAGTGGCCAGATTTGAAAACTGGCATCTGTTGTGGCCACTGAGGACCTGGATACGCCTCTGGGAACACACAAGGGTCAAAAGCAGAGGATTCCCAGACTCGACTCACTGCCGACTCACTCTTTTGGAGTCCGGCAGTGAGTAGAGTCTGACTTCCTCCCCTGCCCAGCTGCGTCTGGGTGGGGGAGGGGGAGGCCATGCGGCCTGTGGGAAGGAAGCCCGGAGCCCTGCAAGGTGCAGGGGTGGAGGAGACCTGGGATGTTTGGGCAGCCCCCCCGGGAGAGAATGATAGAGACTGTGCTGGCTTGAAATTTAATGTCTTGGGCTGGCACCATGGCCAGGAGAAGAAGGGGGGGGGGGGGGGGGGGGGCAAGGTGCCCAGCTGCCGGCAGACCACAGCTGAAGTTTTAACCCCGTTACTACTGAGATAATGGGAGCTGTAAAAAACACTAGTCCTCCCCAGCTGAGAGTTGAGAGGGGACAGAGGATGGGCAGATGAGAAGAAGGCTTGAGTGAGAGAAGAAATACCAGAAGATGAGAAACGCCCTAGATGGAGGAGATGATTTGGAGTGGCCTTTTGGCTGGACTTTTCTCTTACATGGCCACGGGACGGAACCAACGTCTTCCTGTAATGTAGAGACTGCACCCTGGGGGAGGCAGTTGGCCAGAAGCCAGGAGTGAGAGACTGATGGGGAGGGTGTGGTGGAGCCCTCTGCCTTCAGCGGAGAAGGATCTCTGTTCATGAGGCCCCTCGGCCCCAGGGGGTGAAATATGAGGGGGACAGGTGTCCCAAATGGTGAGAGGCGGCCACTTCTTGGAACTGGACGAGGCATTCTTAAAAGGACCTAAGGAGCAGTTTGGATCCTTGGACAGTGGTGAGAGCACTGGACATGGAAGGAAGATGGTCACCACGGCAGATTTTCTCTGGGCGGCTGCCATGTGTGACATGGAAGCACAGGAGGTTCCAACTGTGTTTCCTGGGGAGGCCCATGGTGCAAGAGGGAGACTCCTTTCTCCTGATGAACTGGGGGGAAGTTGTGTGAAGCATGGTATTGGATTGAGAATCCAGTGTTAGAGGGGTGGAGAGAGGAGGAGTGTTTTGGAGGTATTCCATTGTGGATTGCTGTGGGTGTTTTTGTTTGGCTTTTTATCCCTTTTGTCTCTTATGTTGTAGATTAATAAAGTGTTGTGTTTTTCCCTCCATTCCCAAATTTGAGCCTGCTTTGTTCTGTTTCCGGGTCACATCTCACAGTAACCATTTTGGAAATATACCTTTCATGGGGGCACTGGCATTGTGCCAGGGTCAAACCATGATAGAAACATATAAAAAAGAATGCAATTATGCACTATACTACCTCTCAAGTACACTTCATTGTATTTTGATATGCATAGTAACTATGTTTACACCTAAATTTACATATTTTATAACTTCTCTTTATCTTTCTGCAAAAATGTACCACAAAATTAAGGAAAAAATTTATTAAAACTGTTTCACAGTCATTCATAGTAATCCTAAACTCTTAATTGCCAAAAGCAGTTATTCTCACCAACCTAACTTTCTCAGAAACCACTCCCTCTCTCTTCAGTCAGAGTAGTCTTGTTCTCAACCACTTCTGTGATAGTGTAACAGCTACATTAAGTATGATATCTGAATAACATGGACATGTTTCCCATAACTATTATAATGTAAACAGGTTGTGCTGTAAACCAGGCCCTCACACAGTTCAGTTTCTACCAGCTGAATTTAAATGAATTGTTCAGGGTTGGATTTTTGGGGTTGGAGGGAGATTTTTTGTGGGGTTTTTTTGGGGGTGTTTTGTTTTTGTTTAACTTGAATCTTGAAAGTGAGAAAGATAAATATGCAAAAACAGTTTTAAAATATCCAGAATACTACAGACAGAATTACAGAATGGATGTTGTTTCTCTCATGTGATAAATGGTGCTAAATCAGTAACTGAGTGGTAGGTTGCAAAGCATGAAGTGCTATCACAAGTCCCAGATCTGGACCATGAAAGGAGCTTACTGCTTCTTCTATCTATATTTTCTAGTTGGCCAACACTTTAAATCACTTAATATTGCTGATGCTCCTTAATTTGGTTTCTAATTGCATTTACAGAAACTTAGTGTGAACTCAGAAAATGTCTAATAGAAATATGCAACAGCAATAATTCACTGCTTCAAAAAATTTCACTGTAAGTTAGTCAAAGCTATAACATACTTTTGGTCATTGTCCAGTCATTAAATCAACACTTCAATTTTTTTATTGATTCTACTTATACAGCTAGGTTAATTCTGCTTTTCCCGAATGGCACCAGATTTGCTCTGAGAAGTTTAACTTGGTTCTGAAATTTTGTTCACAGAAGGAAGAAAGCTTTTTTACCTTCACCATGGCATACATTAAATATACTGGGGCTAGTAATTCTCCTGTAAGGCTGAATGTTCTTCAAATGATATAGTTAGTATACAGAATTCAGATGCTGTGCTACCAAGCAACATTCACACAAAAAACAGTTACAGATGACTTAATAATATGAAACCACACATCTTAATTGTAATGCTGGATTAAGAGGATGAATAATGTATGGTTCAGTAAGTCAAAAGCTTCCCTGCACATCAAAACACAGTCAGAAAATGGTTTTTATTCCCCTTTGATTTTCAAATATATCCTAACTGCCAAGTCTCATTTATGCTCCCTTAGTTACACAAAGTACCTTTCAGTTATTTTCAAATGCTGGCTTCTGCAGTATAAGACAATCGTACACAATCTTTCATGTTTGTATAAATAGTAGTTTTTAAAATCAGCAAATCTATTTATATCTTCAAAGATTAATGTAAACTCATTTCAGACGAATTCAAGTATCCAGCGTTTCTGTTCTTGTAATGTCCAGAAAACCAAATCATGATGGGGACTTCAATGCATTAACTCCTTGCAAGCAATCCAGTTAAATATGGCATACAACAGTTAGCAAAGGGGCAGGAAAATGCCTTTGATGATGATTTAAGAAAAAAGGTGACATATATTATTACAAAATCCAAAATTCTTAGCGGTGTTCATATATTTCATTATGCTCTCTACACATGAGTGTAAACCCAGTTTACCTGAACACAGACTGTGTCCAAGATACTGGCTGTACTTACTGGAAATGGTGGTGGAGGCTTACAGATGATATCAGGTGGAGCTGCACCTTTACCAAAGCCAATAGCCTACATGTTGAAGGCAAATGAAGAATGTCCTCTTCCTCTACCCGACCCAGCCATTTGGATGTACTGAAAGTATTATAGATTTTTAAAGATATATTTTCCTTACATTTTTCAAATTGATGTACATATTACCAAGAAAGTTACTGTCTAACAAAGATTACAGTAATTTTAAAACCAGATATTTTAAATAGCAAGCCATTTTCAATGCCTATCTTAGATTCTTCCACAGACTGTAAATATGATACAAGCATAAAATGAGCTTCATTCCCTTATTTCTGCTAGCCACCTCTGCATGCCTAAAACTGCCTCCTAACCTAGGAATTTTAAGCCATTGTCTTCTAAACTTTAGTTGTACTGTATTGAGTTCAACCAGAAGAACCAGAAACAAGTGAAAAAAAGTTTAAGAACCCTGCAGCTACATTCTAGTGTTTTTTTAACTTTTCTCCAGAAACCAGTTTGTGTTTTTCATTCATGACTTCTTCATCCTGAATGTTTTTTGTCCTTTATTTTAGTAACTATTTCTGGATCTTGATAAAGTGACACGGGCAAAGAGGTAATTAAGATAATCAAAAGTCATGAAAAACTTCAGCAGGACTGCAAGCTAACTGCTGGGGTTAAAAAAGGATGTTGTTTCTAACTGAATATTTTAAAAGGTCATAAAAGAAGAAGAGCCTCCAAAACATTTATAGTCATATCTCTCCACTTTCATGGTTATACCAACCTTCATCCCATTAATTGCATGACCCATGTGTTGACAAGTAAATCAAAACGTGAGAATGGGGTAAAGATGTCAATAAATGGGACCCAAGAAAAGCTGCTGCTCACTCCCACAGACCATTCAGATTGGTGCAAGGTCCGAGCCCAGAAATCCCATGAGCTGTTCACTATTAACTGCAAGGTCACTGTACCTGCTCGGTACAACCAGTTTGTTCCAGACTTACTACTGTACCTGTACAAGTGCACCTGGTTCCGCCCAGACAGAAGCAAAGGCCTTTTTATTAAGGCCAGAGAAAACACATTGATACCAGTTTTTTTCCTACTTGTTACTTTCAACAGAAGTAAGCTCTATGTGGACAAAACAAATTCAAAATCTGTATTTCCATGGCACTCTGCAGCACAGAACACTATCTAAAAATAAGCAGAGAGACTTAAATAAATATTTTTTAAAGAAGAAAAGGGAAGGGAAGGGAAGGGAAGGGAAGGGAAGGGAAGGTCCTCTGAAAATAGGATGAAAAGCAAGATGTGAGCCTTGCAGAATGGAAAAAAGACACTGTAAAGCCCCAAACATGAGCAATTATCTAGATGCAAGAAAAAAAAAAGGAAACAACAGCAGAACAACAACAACAAAAAAAGTTAATGTAGTGAATATGAAGGTCCATTTTTTAAAAGCTGCTTTAAAATTAATTCTTAGTAAATTTGCCTAAAATGGCATTAGTCTGATGAGACGTAATAAGCTTTAAAACTAGCAGCAACTAGTTTTTCAACTTCACATTTTTACCCAAACTCATTTTTTCAAAACATCAGGTTTATGTTTACCAACAGCACAAAGTGATAGTGACAGATGGAAAAAACCTGAAGAGTTGGACAACTAAGCCACAAAGCATGACAAAGTTACCACAACTAGTGTTCTCTTTGCCTCGGGGGATTGTCTAAAAGATCACCTGGGTGTATTTTCTTGTTTCTGGGTAGTTAGTGTGTCATTTATAAAAGAGAACATTTTCAGATTTAGGCTTTTCAAATTCCTCCAAACCTAGGTATGCAGCTTCTCGAGCAGTTACTCAGGGGAAGGTATCTGATGTTTCAGGAGGTAAAGGCTGATGGAAGCCAGATCCCCGACAGCTGCCGGGCGGCTGGTGCAGCAACAGCAGACCTAAGTACACTGTCGGTATCCAATGCTTTCCTCACAACAAAACTCCTGATCGTGTTCTGGTGGATGTGGTCCTTGATTTTCAGAGACAAGTGCCATCAGTTAAAGGGAAAAACAGATACAGAAGTACTGAACTTTAAATACTGAGGTTTTGTGGATGTCTTTTTAAACTAACTCCCGTGAAGGTAAGCGGGAGAAGACATTTTTCCTGGGGGTCACTAATAGAGAATATCCCTCTCAGCTGCTCTTCGCTCCTTTCCCGCTCCCTGCACCTCGCTGACGGCCCGTCACCGCTAGAGGGTCCCGCCACTCCCCGCACGCCCGGCACGCTTCGCCTCTACTGGCCCCTCCGCGACGGGTCTCAGTGCGGAAAGGGGCTCAAATACGCGCCCTCTCCTGCTACTGCTGAAGCCCCACAGCCCGTCCGAACTTCCCCACTGCTCAGCCGGCACCGTCACGCTCTGCCTGCCGCTACCGCAGTGGGCTGGGTCCGCGCTCGCCCCGCCCCGCCCCGCCCCGCCCGTTCCGCCGCCCGGGCGCTGGCGGGGGATTCACGGGCCCGCAGTGCCGGCCGGGCCATGTCGGCGCTGGAATGGTTCGCGCACAAGCCTCTGGGCGGCGGTATCTTTTGGATTCAGGAACGCTTCTACGAGTCGGGCAACCGGGCCAACATCTGGCTGGTGCGGGGCTCGCAGCGAGACGTGGTGATTGACGCGGGGCTAGGGCTGCGCAGCCTGCCCGACTACCTGCGTGACGCCGGGCTGCTGGCGCCGGCCGAGGGCGCCGGACCTCGGCCGCTGCTGGCTGTGGCCACCCACGTCCACTTCGACCACTCGGGCGGGCTGCAGCACTTCGAGGAGGTAGCGGTGCACAGTGCTGAGGCGGAGGCGCTGCTCCAAGGCGACAATTACGAGGCCGTCACTTGGTTGTCGGACCGGGAGGTGGCGCGACCGCCGCGGCCCGGCTGGAGCGCGCGGCAGTTCCGTGTCCTGCCCGTCCGGCCGAGTCGCCTGCTGCAGGAGGGTAAGGGGGCGACCTCGACGTGCCGAGGGGTGCGGAGGCACAGTGGTCTGGGTATTACGGAGCAGCTTCTTTTCAGCTTCTTTGCTGAGCGCCTCTTGGTTTACCCAGCTCCTCGTATATAATCATTAAATATATTAATTTTGTCACTCCTGTGGACCTAAAAGCCACCCGTAGTCAGCATGGGACCAAAAAGATGCATACTATGTTAAACCGTTTCTACCAGTTCTGAAAGTTTTGGCGGCTGTTTTTTTTTTTTTCCATATAGAATGAGAATCATTCAGTAATGTGTTAGGTGACTAATTGAGTACCCCAGGTTTATCCTTAGGCTTCAAACGGTATGTCAGCAGCCTATCCTTAGGCTTCAAACCTGACAGACCGTTTGAAGCCTAAGGATAAACCTGGGGTACTCAATTAGTCACTCAGTTTTGGTATCTGGTGATCTTTATTGTTTATAAGCTGTCAAAACATGGACAGTGCAGTTAACATAACAATTCCTGAAATATGTACTGAGAACAGAGTTTTTATTTTACAGAATTTATGTGAGTTTTGCATAAATACATTTACTGAATTTTACCTGACTTACATAAAATGTAAAAAATCACTTGTTACTGATGTAGTATTTATGGAAGTGGCTTGTTGCAGATAAAAAAAGATAATTTAGTGTCTAATGGGAGACAGTGACTAGTCTAAAACCTAAAACACTTAAACTGTACAATACTGTTCAGTAGATGTTAAAGGGCGGGTGTCAGGTGACACCTTGGGCATGGTGCTTACTCTCTTCTTGGCTTTACTGACCATCTCACATAGGTGCTGGAAAAGCAGAACTGAACTTACTGAAGGCTTCAGTAAGATCAGATGACATTTAACTATAGTAATAGTTAAATAACTACAGTGACATTTAACTATAGTAAATTAACAGAAGTTTAAGTTGGTTTTTTTCCTCAAAAAGTAGGGAGGATTATTTAAAAAAACCCCAAACTTTTGTAAAAGAGCAAGTACACTGGCTGCCAGAGTAGCATCAGAATTTCTAAGATGTTAACTGAGACATGAGACAAAATATCGTTTCAGTGGCTGGTACAATTAAAAGGCATTCACTTGTAAAAATGTGTTGACAAAAAAATGACATAATGGTAAGAAAGTTCCATTTTTATGTCTTAATGAATGAGATGAAGAAAGTGTGTGGAGGCCTGTCTTGGTTCTCCTCCAGCAATTTATATTTTAGCCTTTTGTCTTTCAGGAGTAGCAGCAGTGCAATTCTAGAGGAATTCTTAGGGTAAAAGTATAATAAATTGTGAAATACATTCTTTGCAAAGAAGAACCAGCTTAGATGTGTTCTATTTGTTTCCATTTTATTTTCTCTGCATTTGTTTCTATTTTATTTTCTCTACTGCATTGCTTTTCACATTGTGCAATTTATTAGAATATGAATATATTCCGTTAATAAAACCCAAGTTATTTGTGTTAACTGTTAGTGTAATTGAAAAATACCTTTTTGCCAAGCTTATATTTCAGACACCTCTTTGGCTCTCAGAAAGAAAATAAATGCCCCACTCCCATTGTTGCGATGTGTAGTAACGTATAAACTCTGCATATGAGTAGGTAGTTCTCTATGTCATTTAAGAAACATGGCAAATGCATACATTTTCCCGTAACAAATCTGTTTGCAGGGGATGTGATCAACCTCGGAGATCGACAGCTCACTGTCATGCACATGCCTGGTCATTCACGAGGCAGTATTTGCTTACATGACAAAGACCGGAAGATTTTGTTCAGTGGTGATGTGGTGTATGATGGATCTATGATCGATTGGCTTCCCTACAGCAGAATCAGTGACTATGTTGCAAGCTGCCGGCGCCTGATGGAGTTAGTAGACAGAGGTCTTGTGGAGAAGGTGCTACCCGGGCATTTTAACATATTTGGAGCAGAAAGGCTGTATCGATTAGCTTCCAACTACATATCCCAAGCTGGAGTTTGTCACAAGATTTCTACCTGTGCTATGAGATCCATTGCAAGCGTAGCAATTCGTGTTGCAAATTCAAGAATCACTTCTCAGTGACAGTCAATTTTGTGTGATCTGTCACATGCTGTATAACCAAATGGTTGTGAAAGCGTCAATAACAAGCAGAAGCAGTATGTGTTAACAAAAAGATGTCCAATTGATTCAGGTGAGCTTAAAAACATTCTGTTTTTTCCTGCTTTATTCATATTTTTATAAAAACTCTGTAAACTAGTAGCTTTAGCCAAAGCTATGGTTTTTCTTTGTACATTTTCAGAGCATGTTTTTACATATATTGCAATTGAAATATATTATTTTATTTTTGCTACAACTCTAGCAGATGGATATATACTAAAATGAGAGGTTTTACAGTCATGCCCGAAACCTTGTTGATGTATTACTGGACTTGTGATTATTCATCACCTGCTCAGGTTTTGACCTAACAGCTGTTGCTAAGACCTAGTATGTGCTAGGAGCAGTGCCATTAGATCAGAGCAGGAGTAACACTTACGCAGGGCTCAGTGAGCAGAAAGAGAGAATTCTTGCAGCCATTGCCACCTGTGGGTTTGGTATCTGCTGCACCTCTCACTACTTGAAGCTTTATCTTTGCAAAGTACTCATCTGGCATTTTCTTTAGAATGCACAAACACATGGAAATTCTATAGACCAAACTTTCAAGCTGGAAGCACAGATACATCAGTTTATCACAAAAGCTTCTGGTGCAGACAGACTGTTGAAGCTTTCATGTTTCCTGGTGTGGTGCAAGGAACCACTGCAGCAGGAGAGAGTGAGCAAGCAGGAGCACTCTCATTCACCATTGGCTAGGGAGCTGTTTTGCTTGTAGGCATGTGAGTTTGGAATTAGACGATTTGTGAACTAGTGAATTAATGTGTTACATTACCCTGTACAAAGTGGATTGAGCTTTTGCTGGATGTATTTATTTTTTTCCGATCAGCTTATAAAAATATTTGAAGAGTTTATTGTTCTGGAAAGCTGAGAGAAGTGGACCTTTTAAGGTGTTTGTTTATGCTAAAGTGTATTTTTATGTGATGGTGTTGTAACTTAATTGTTAATCATCTGTGTTCGGGGGGGATTGAGGCTTTAACATGATCTTACCATAGTGAAGGTGCTGCATTAAGCACCCAGTACACTTTTTATCACAAAGTGAATGTAGCTCAAATGGTTTACTGTTTGCATCTGAAGTATGTGCTGCACATGGTTGTTCTGAAATGTACAGTGTGTTGCATTGAGTTTGTTCCAAAAAATATGTTGAATATATTGAGAAATGCTAAATAGCATTGCAATTTGCTTATGAAAATTGAATGTGTGATATTTAAAAGTTGCTGAGATGGTTAGAATTTGTGTAATTATTCTAACAGTTTGTATACATTCAACTTTTTAAATGGACACTGTCAGAATTTATTTTTTTAACATAGACATATATATGTTCCTAAAAAGACTGCAAATGTTTCTCTCAAATTTTAGTGCAGTTTAACTTTTCTTGTTTGCTTTCACTTTATGCAGAAGATTTTGCCCCCATCATAGCCAATAGTAAGGGAGCCAGTTTTGAGCTCTGTCTAAGGCATGAGGGGGAGGAAGTTGATAGCCTTCTAAATGGATGCAAATTCTTGTGGAAAAAAGACCAACCTATTGCAAAATTTAAAAAGCATCTCTGTCTAAAAATTATATAAGTGAGTGTCTTAGGTAAGGCTTTTTCCATTTTATAGATGCCTGCACTCCTGCCTTTACTGTGAATATATTCTTTACTAGGATTTGTACTGACTGGTTGTTGCCTAGTTCTTCTTAGAAGTGCCTATCTCTAAGCTGAAGAAAAATTGTGAGTGGGCAGGCCATGTGAAGAGATGCATCACTTGAAAGACCCGTTATTAGTCAGTTCACAGTCTCTTTGAGAAATCCATGTACATCAATGTATGATGAGTGTTCAGTGGATAGACTTACGTCATAAAACCAAGAGGTGTTTATCTTCGCCTCAGTTGGCAGAGGAAGAAATACAAAAACAGTCTGGGAAGCAGGCTATCTCTAAAGCTTACACCAGTTATCTGGAGGATGCCGTGGTGTTACAGGTTGCCTGACAGTATTTGAATTCCTGCAAATTAGTTGAACCAGTAATACTCATTCTTTTTAAACAAAGCTTTTGTGAAGACTCTGGGAGCCCTGCTGGTAGCCCCGTGGGTTAAAGCAGTCACCACGAAATCCAAAGCCTGCCAGTATGGATGTCAAGTTGCTAAAGTTTTGTACATGTTCACTAGAAGAGTAAGATCACTTTGAATTGGCATTCTGTCTTACACTACTATCAGTTTATTTGATCCAATATTAGAATCTCTGTAGCCAGATTTTAGTGTATTGTAAAGCCTGAGCTTTTACGAGGAGACTCACAGGCGACATCAGTTCAAAAGGAAAGCATAACCTCCATCCTCCATCATTTGTGTTCAAATTTGTGCTCAATATCTCTATCAGCTGAGATCCTTAAATGGCCAGATCACTGTCAAAATGCCCTATTAAGCTATGCTTAATTCTGCTAAGTACGTAACCAAATTTTTGACTTTTTTACTTTGCCAAAATCTAGGGGATAATGTCCTAGCTCAGAAGTTATCTTTACATGCACATCACCCAAAGTGGAGTTTGTTAGTAAACTGCTGCTATAATCCAAATGAAAGTAGTTTTTTGAGGGTCATGAAATTATTTTTTGTATTATAAGAAATTCACTACTAGAGAAACAATATTTAAATTATCTTAAGTTAAAAGAACAGTTTCTGACTATTTTTGTTAAGACTTACCAAATTTTAATCATAAGAGTTTGACAGTGGTCCTTTAACACTACTTGGATTAAACATTTAAAAAATGCATTGTAAATTTAAATACTGTGTCATGTGAGCATTTAGAACTGTGTTGATTTCTTTGTAGCATCTATATATATGTTAATGCAGTTTTCAATAGACTAGGGAATTGATATAAAAATCATATGGGAAGTTTTGTTCTGTAATCTGTCAAGGCTGTTACAATGTTAAACAACAGTTTGCACCTAATTAATTTTTTTTGTGTATTATAATAATAAAATATTATAATCCTATGCAGCTAAGTAATAATTTCTAGGTATTTCTCAAAAGAAGCACTTTTCATTCTAGATGGAGTATATTTACAAGTTGCTAGCAGAATTATTTATGCTTCCAAGAAAGAAACTGCATTTAAAAAGTTTACACATTGTACATGCCCTTTGCCTTGTAAGAGCAGACATCTGTAGCCAAAGAAAAATAAAATAATGCAGCTCTGTTCAGGAGAGCTTGAGCGAGATAAAGGTGGAGGAAAAGGAGAATTTATTAATATTTAATGTTAAAAATCTAGGTCTCAGCATTCAACCAAGACTGGTCCCAGTTCCTATTTATGATTAATGCATATGTAACTTAAATCATTAAGTAGTACCTCTTGGGTCTAAAAATTCATCTATGTATTATGCAAATACTGCTACTCTATCTAAAGTCCTTTCACTTTCAAATTGAATTAGGAAGTATAGAAATTATTGAGAAGCAATGAAAAAACCCATTCATTGTGTTCTATTTTAAATTTATTTGATGTTAACTATTACACAAGGGAGCTGCTAGCCAAAACATTTTAGCTGCATTGCACTGGGTTTTCAGGGCAGGCAGAAAGCCGTTCCGAGGTGCATCAGTAGTCCAGGCACTCTAGAATGCTGTGAAGTCACTTTACTAGCTTACACAGCCACCCGTTGCTTGGCGTAGTGGGATCCTACCCCAAAACCTGCTACTGCACGTGTAGTGTCCGTAGGGTGGAAATGTCCCCTCACTGTCCTGCCCGCTTGTTGTTTAGGCTGCCCCTTGTGCAAGGACATGAGGCTTGACTCCATTTTCATCAGAAGGCTGATTTATTATGTTATATTAAAATACTACATTAAAACTATACTAAAAAGAACAGAGAGAAGATCAGAAGGCTACAAAGACAAGAATAGAATAGGAATCAATAACAAAAATCCTGTGACTGCTCACAGCCTTGGCACAGGTGGCTGTGACTGGTCACTAATTGAAAACAATCCACATGGACCAATGACAGATGCACCTGTGGCATTCCACAGCAGCATACAGTTATTGTTTACATTTCTTTCCTGAGGCCCTCAGCTCCTCAGGACAGGAAAAATCCCAGCAGAGGCTTTTTCACTAAAATATCATGGCTACACCCGCTGACCACGCCAGCTCCGTGCTGGGGGGAGCACCGGGTGGCCACAAGCCGGGCAGGGGCTGCATTTACCATGAAAACAACAGAATTGAGTATCAAATTAGAAACCAGCAGTGTTGTAAGCCTGCTCCTTGCTTTTACTGTGCTACCCAAAACCATCTTCAGCATAGTTACTCCTCACTACTCAGATTTTAAGGGAAAGTCTAATTTCACAATTTAAAAATTATTGGTTAAAGAATTATTTTAGAGTTAACTGTGCATACACGTGTCCTGGGGAGGCAATGAGGCATTCACAGAAATTAAAATTGGAAAAACAAACAATAAATTTTTTTAAAAACCCAAACAAACAAACAAAAACCAATCCCCCCCCCAAAAAAAAAAACCAAAAAAACCCCAAAACCCCAAAACTACTTGACATGGAAAAAGGCTCAGAAGCACTTCTGTTATTGTGCCAGGTATTTCCCAGCAATTTGACCCAGATGCACAAAAGAAGCACATTCATAATCATCAAACTGGCAATGATACTTGGTATGCTTTTAATATGGCTTTGTATTTTTACATATGATTTGTTCTAAGAGTGACATGAACAGAACTCTCTTGACTTGCATGAAATCTTGCCCAACTTCTCCTTTAAAAAAATCAAGATTAATTTAATCTGATATGTGATCTGATTTTGAGCAGTTGGGATGAGATTTATAGTCTTCTGCACACTCAAATTCAGTTTAGGACAACAGAGTGGTAGGATAGTTTCAAATACTAATAAAATTAGGACTAGAGAAGAATACATCTTCACTCAAAGGGAAGACAGACCTGGCAGACAGCCCCACAAATGACTTTTAAAAAGCAATATATGAGTTTGAAAATTAAGTAAAAGCCAGTAACAACACCTTTAAGTATATTGCATTATTAATTGTTTTCCTTATTAAGCTGACAATAGATATGTGTAAGGAACATGCTAGTGCTATTCTAACTTACCAACTCTATTCATAAGAGGTCTTTTTAAGATGGGTTTAACCAACCTTGAAAATGCAAGGATTTATAAGTCATTGCTACCACCACCATATTTTCAGATATTATTATTTGAGCCTGTCTTTTCTCTTTGGAATTCTTTGCATCTCCATTTCATATGCAGAATGAGCACTGCTGCTAACTTAAATCAATTTACAAAGACTGGAGCTTTGGTTACTAGAGCAACTTTTTAGCTTATAAATTTAGAAGCAGGGACCTGAATGTGGATCTCCAGTTGCCAGAAGCACCCCCAGAGTATCAGTATCAAGTATTTCACTCTGCTTGACACAGAGCAGCCAAGGCACAGGTGCACCATGAGAGAGGACAACTTGAAAGTGAAGTGCAGTCACAACATAGGCAGGGATTGTGACCCCCCCTGCAGAGTAACTTGACCTCTCAGCAGCCCAGTGACTGCAGATTAATGGCAACTCTAGTTCATGGCCAGGCCATGAAGTCTGGTAAATATGTCAGCAAGAGCAGCACACAGTACTGCTGAGTTGCTGTCCACGTTTTTCTCTACTCCCCGCGCTGGGGAGGAGTCTGCACCGGCTGAGCTGTGGCACAGCAGCTGACAGGCGGGGGGCACTGCCCAGATGTGCCGGGGGCGGCTGGGGAGCGCCTCAGCAGGAGGCAGCAGTGAGCAGCAGGAAGGCGAAGTAGAAAAGAGGGACTCGTCTTGGGAGCAAAGTCCAGAGTTTAATGACTCCAGGGGAAGCCAGCCGAGTCGGGACCACGAGGTGGGGTTACAGCCGATTATAAAGGGGGCGGAACACACAACACTTCAACCAATGAGGGAGAACTTGGGAGGGAACAAACTCGTGACAAACATGCCGGCTCGCCAATGTGACAGGGAGGGACTCTTGTTCCCGATCCAATCACCCACCGAGGAGGGGAGAACTTTCTGGAAAGAGGGAAGGGGACAGTGGGTGATGGACAGGAGCTCAGGGAGGGATTGACAGAGGGTAACCAGGGGAACAGGGGTGGAGACAAAAAACTGACACTCTCAAAAGGAGGGGTTGCCGGGGGGGGGGCGGGGGAGCCCAGGACCGAACCATTATAGCTTTAGGGGGAAACAGCACAGACCAAATGAACCATGCACCACAACACAGTACAAGAACAGCGATAACACCAGTGCAGCTCAGGCAAGAACTAAGGGCCCCTATGCTGAGACCCAGGATCAACATGCAGAGGAGGTGAGAGTAGGGGCGAATCAGTACAATTTGAGGCTCTTGGTTCAGTTGTAGGCTCCTGGTGCTACTTTCCCACACTTAACTCACCATTTGGTTAATGCTTCCTTTTCTCTCTGGACAAGTAAATGTGTTCTATGAAACACACACACACACACACAAATTAATCTGTGGTTATATTTGTCCCACAGTACAGGCTGAGGGTCAAACCTGCCAGTAATTTATGCTTTTAATTGGAAAGCTACCATCTGTAAACAGAGGTCAATTCCATACCTCTTGCCTCTGCCTGTTTGATCTGTGGACCAGGCATAATATGAATAGACAGAAAAATAAGTTTCATTTCTGTTTCAGTCAGTTTCATCAGTGTTTCAGTCACATATAGGGTGACATTTTTTTTTAAAGAATGCCTAATCCAGTGTATTGGATGTATAGTGTGGCTCTACGAAGTAATTCAAAGAAGGAAAAAAAGTCTTATTTTTACTTGACTTTGTTCAGAAAGAATGTTGTCTTGATCAAGCCAAACTCCACATATTGAACTCTATGTATTAAGTGTAAACCCATTAATAGTTTATTATTGGAAGCATAGGTGCAAAACATCTCCAAGACCTGAAGGAATCTTTCATTGTCTAAGAATTTTCAGTCTATCTAGCCAGGTTGTATAACATAGTATTAGCAAGGATCTGAATATCATAATGGTCCAGTTAGTAACACTGTAGTACATTGTCAAAGCTAGTTATGAAACAGCCCTTGTTTATGAAACAAGGCACACTGACAATTACTTTGTTACAGACCAAAGCATTGAGGCAGCACTTTTCACAAATCTGAGTTTTCTCATGAGTGATATGAGTATTTTCTTCACCCATATGTAATGTTGATTCACTGACTGTTTCACAAGACACAAAAATATTAGCGTCAATGATAACTGGAACTATACATTAAGGTCTTTAGTCTCCACACAGTACATATTGCTTTCAATCAAATTTTTAGTAAGGCAAAATCTCTACAAATGCCAGAAATGCTTCTATAAATGCCATTTTTGTGTGATCCTCCACAACCCACCGCACACTGAGCAGTCGGACTGAGCAGTAGGGAGCAGGTCCTGGGGCCACAGGGAGTTCTTCTGACACAGCCACCACACATCCAGGCTACAGCAAGGCCAGCAGAAGTGTTGACCACAAAAATCAGATTTGTTACCCAGTGTGCAGTAAGCCAGTAATTACACACTTGAGGGAGATATGGATTCTTTATTTTAGAGTGGCAGAAGCCTGGGTGCTGCATGGTATTCCATGAATCAAGCACACCAACTATCAAAACCTTTTAGTATTTACACATTTTAGCAAACAAATGCATTAGGCTTCAGGTTACATAGTTCTCTTAATAATGATTATTCTATCTTCTGTTGTTAATAATTCTCTTACTTCTCATGCTAATTAGTCCACATGCCCAGTCGTTCTCCTGAGTTGGTGGGCAGCTTGGTAAGTGGTCTGCTGGAAGTGGAGCTGATTCAGCACAATTGCTGAGTTGCCTTTAATAATTTATTCCATATGTGGGGACGACTGCCAAATGTCCTTGTGGCCAGGAAATTCTGAATTGTTTGTCTGATATCACTGAAATACGTCGTGACCTAGAGCTTAACAAGGAAATTCCAACAAAAGATTTTTCTTTCTAACCCCTGGAAATCACTTTA